AGCAAAGACAATAAATATGAAAGAAAAGTGAGATGCAAATGTCGTTATTATTTTTTTTTTTAGCTTAATAGCAGCTGTACCCTCTGCTGCAGTCTTCGTCTAAATTTTGCAAGGTCCCTCCTTATCTTCTGCCTTGTTCGGTCAGTTTCGACTTCTGAAGCTAGATCATCGGCATCGGCCTCTTCGTCATCATTCATATTTACAGAGAGGGACCTCGTCAGTAAACCAATTTTTGTTACGGCAGATAACCGCCTGAAGTATCGAGCGATTTGCTGCTCTATCAACCGGTCAGTCTTAGACAACATTTCTGGCTGGTGTCGTCTCTTAAACTCGATATTTGGGAAGTCACATTAGAGGCGGTTGCCTTGCAAGTTTCCTCCACTGTCCAGCACACGTCTAGGAGATAATTCTTTCCTTTCTGAGAAAAGGTGGCTGTTTTTTGTGTTTTCCAAAGAGCCCATCCAAAGTCCACTTGGCTAATTAGGGATTGTTCGTCAGAATTTTACCTGAGGTCCGTCCTTGAACGTAGCCATCCCCTAGAGAATGGCAAGCCGGTCTTCGTCTATTTCCTCTTGATCTTATCATAAGCGGATTCTTTTTTGTCAGCTTCACTGTGTTTGTCTTTGTTAGGGTGCTTTTGGATGGCAGTCAATGACTGAAACGTCTCGATACGTTCTTCCTTTTAGCAAGAATATCTCGCTTTCTTGTTCTGTCTGTGACGGATTGGATATAGTTCTCGCCATGACCCGCGTTCAGAGATCTGTGCACGTTACCGATAACCACCCGCTTCTACGATTAGTTTGCTGAAGGTTTCTAATGTGATGAGCCTAGTGAGACCCTGAGGTGCTCCAAACTGTGTCAGTTGGTCTGAGCTCTAAACTTGTCGCAGTTCTTAAGTCAGAGGGAGGATCGCCCACCTCTATTTATGTGAGCGCCTCTACAGTACCTGCGTATCCCTAGAAATCATATGATATAAAGTTCATCTCAGTCACAAATCACCAGTTAGGAAAACTGATGTTCAGATAAGCGCTCTTCTTGCCCTTCTTCCTTAATCATTGCCGACTCCAAGATAGCAGTTACAGTACGCGTTCTATTAGGTTTACAGTCGCCTTGCCACCAGGAAGACTCGCCACCAGCTTTGATTTCTTCTGCCATCTTCAGATTCACCTCTCTCTCAACTTTACGTCTCCGATTTTTATGAGGAGGATAGTGGCATTTACGAACCCGAAGGTCTGAATCTCACACTAAGATGTGCACGATATTTGAGGCATATCGTGAAATCGCGGTCTTCGCAACTCTCCAAATAAGCCAATACGCGCTAGAATAAGCTTCTTCTCGGACGAAACGCATGTTTGGGATACATCGACGTCTCTCAATTTTTTTTTTAAGCTGTACGCCCACGAATTTATAGGTATGAGCTGTTGCCGTCCCTGGCCAGCGCGAGAAAAATAACATTTGGTTCTACAGTTAGTTGCAAATGAGCAAGACAACTGCACCATCTTGACTCTATCAATTCGAGTGTTAGGTTGAATTGAGGGCTTTTTAGACACTTGATTTCTTATATGGCATCACTTTGAAGACGTAATACAACTGATACACCTACACTACATAGGATTAACAATGTCTGTTGCGCTGTTGCGAGAAGGAGGAAAATATTACCGGAAGTGTAAACTCTTGAAGAGTTTCAGAGACGTTTCAGAGATGTCTATCTTCGGCTGTCACAAAAAATTGACCCCCACTTAAATAAAGTATTCTATATCTGATTGCTCAAACACTTTGTTTACGATTGTTGAAAGGAACGACTCATGGTTCTCCGTCTTCGTCTTTACATTGCTTTGAAATAGTATAGGTTAGTAAGCTGAAACGAAGAATTAATCAGGGAAGTTTACGAAAAATCCAGCAAACAAGCTTAAAAAGGGCATTTATTTAGACTTCATATTTCAACGAACTTCACCCGTAGAGAATCCGCACGATGGTAAAACATTCGAAAATTACACTCGATTTGAGTGGGGTGTTGAAGTGGGCGTGGTCACCATATTCATGTTAAGACTATTTGTACCCCATGAGTTTGATATGATTGTTTACAGGTTAACTTTTGGCATTTAATTTACTGAAAAGCAATACACTTACTTCCGTATATTGTCTTACTGGCGAATACCTTACGAGTTTAAACGCGAGGAGCTTATAACAGGCATTTTATAGTTTACTAATTTTTTTCTACTGGAAACAGTGCTCGCCAGAATAGGATGTAATGGGCGATGGTAAGAATATGGACTCCCTAGAAAGTTAAAAAAAAAGATTAGGCGGGTACTTTGTAAAAGTGCCAAAGGGTACATTGACAATTCTAAATGTCTGTTCAACCGCGTTGTCACCACTCAGTTGATACGACGCCATCCCAGCTTACATACTCACCATTTAATGTTTGTGGTTTGCTCCGGGACTCTTCTGCTTTTGGTTTACTCTTCTTGACAGTAAAATTAAGGCCCCCCTAGACAGTTTTTCTTTGAGATCAGCAATGTCTTTGTCTGTCCCAACGAGAGCTTGTTTAGGAAAGGCGATCTCCTTCTCTTTAGCTGTAAATGAATATTGCAAGAACTTACAATAAAAGATTGAACAGATTCAAGGTCTGAGTAATAAATTAAACCGGGAAAAACTAAAAACGGAACTATTTATGACGGAACGAGAAGCAGTAGGGAGGGGGGAGGGGGTAAACGACTTATTGTTGGTTGAACATCGGCAACTCTTAGTAAAATGGCTTCCTAGTCCAAGCGCACTTTTCTTTTTATGCATGCGTGACCACATAAAACTAGCCATTAATCTGTGTTTCAAGGTAGATGATCTTCTGTGTTAGTTGTTCCTTTTCTCTCGCAGACTGAAAAAAATAAAAATAGTAATTTTTTAATTAACGAAATTAGAAGAGAGCATATAAGCTGGGATAAAAAAAACATTATCAACTTGCAATCCCGCGTGAAGATAGTGGTATGTCGAAGGGTGGCATCAAAATCTAAGAATTTCATTTGCGCGCGCTTTTTCATCTCTCCAGGAAGAAAAAGTTTTTCAAACTTAGTTACCTGAACGCCTTTAATGCAGAAAAATTCCAGTTGCGTTAAATGTTTCGTCAATGTTGAACGGACTTAAATATGAGCTAATTTTGGAGGGAACCGTTTTACAATTGAAATTAACCAATAACGACCTATTTTCACAGCTTCTATATTGAATCAGTTCTAGTTGCGCGTTCGTCATGAAATCACTTGAGCTTCTTTTTTTCAGCATGCTCCCTCGGATAACAAATTGAAACTTTTAAAATAACTAAACGCACTTTTTTAACGAAAAAAAGGAGGTTTAATGATGGGAAACGCCCACCTCATTAGCCATGATCCGTGCCCCATGTGAGGCCTCCAGTTTTGCAGAACAGGATTTCCTCACAGACTCTTCGTCACCTGAGCTGTTTTTGTTCATTTTGTAACTGATATCTTCATTCAAAGCATTCGATAAACTAGAAAAATGCATTCTCTTTCACGGTGCTTTAGCATGAACCGAGTTCTTGATGCGAAAGAAAGTTTTGATTTGTTTATGACTAGTTGCATGGTAACGTGTTTATGCCGTCACTTCATGACATCACGCCGGATTTAAAGTATCAAGTCTGGGCACTAGAATTTTGTTAATAATAAATTTATAATGAATAACAAGTAAAATATCAGCAGACAACGAGGTACATATTACTTTTCACAGCAGAAGTGAAATAATGTCATAGAGCGGCGACATGTGGTAAAACGTTGCCGTCTATTTTTAAAGTTTATTTACCTTTATTTATTTTTCCTCTAAGATTTTCCCTTAAATTCGACGCATTAACCGTTCATGACGGTACGACGTCTTCACTTCGGCATAACAAAATCATTCAACACTGGCTAATCATGATTAGTGATTAGTGAAATGGGGTTATGGTTTAGTCTTTCTCTTCGACATAGGTGAAATTTTGTGAAAGTGAACTGAATATTTCTTCGGAGCGATTAAGCTTCTTGTATACCCACATGGGAATTGCCGCCTTCTTCAGGCTCTTTGCTTGGAGGCTTGCTAGTCTTAGGAAAGGCCCCGTAGCCCAATGGATAAGGCATCTGACTTCGAATCAGGGGATTCCAGGTTCGAGTCCTGGCGGGGTCGATGTTATTTTGGTAAAATAATATTTGTATCTTCTGAATTTCTTTCATCCTTTTAATCGCTCTCATTAAGTTATTAGGCTGGATAAGAAATCATGTTTGATAGAAGAACTTTTCAAACAAGTTATTTGTTTTTCCGTTCCGATAGTCTCCAGCTTCTCTGATAGACAATATACGTCATCCTATGGTGAAACACAACCCCCACCGGAAAATCTCTTACATCTACCATGGAAATTGGTTTAAGATACTGTCACTGATCATAAATTACTTCCGTTCTCTTCAGTGAAGAGTCAAATCACTTTGGTCATGTTGGATGATGAAAGTAAAATGAAGGCCTACCCTTCCCCTAACCCAACATTAACAACTGACTGTTGTTGGGTTAGGGGAGGGGTAGGTGGACAGTTGCCCAGATACTGATATTGATCCAAATGAAGGAGAGGTATCCCCACATATTCCATCAGGAAAGACATCCAGGGTTTATCTTAGAATATCGCAATATCAAACAAAAGTCGAGCTCGTTTTCAGTGTTTACATAAGTATTTTGCTACTTTTCTGTGGTTAAATCATGACCTGCTTATTTCATCCTCATGCAAAGAATCGAGAGAAAATCTGGTAGAAAAATAGAAACAACCAGAACTAAAAATATAAATATTTTATTTCTCAGGCCTCGTATAAAAACAACTTTAACAGCAAAAGCAGGAAGAATAAAAATTTATTGAATGAATTCTATTTTGATTGGAATAAATTTCATTTTAGAGCATAATCCACACTTTCTTCTGTGCTTTGTCCAAAACAGGAAGGCCCCGTGGCCCAACGGATAAGGCATCTGACTACGAATCAGGGGATTCCAGGTTCAAATCCTGGCGGGGTCGCTGTTATTTTGATTTTTTTCTCATATAAATCGCCTTTCACAAAGTTATGAGACCACATACCACAGGTGAGGCGTAGTTATGTTTACTAGAGTAGAATTGCTGCATTTGCTATTTAAAAGTATTGAACGTTTATCTAGTATTCTCCGGCTTCTATAATACAAGTCATCCTTTCGTGAAATGTAACCCCTCCCGATTGAGTTATTATGCTTGTTACATCTGCTTGTTTTCCCAGGCTTCATTGCGGTCTCAGAGGGAAAGTATGACCCGGCATTTCTGACAGCCGGAGCGATAATGATTTTTGGTTCAAATCTCATGTTTCTGAGAAAGCTGACAGGACGGAAAGACTCGAGTGAGGAAAATCTTGCATTGGGTATAGAATCTTTTGAGTTATTTGTTAACGCAAGGGAACGGTGCTTTGAATGCAGGAGATCCTGGCAAGAAGTACCGCAGGTTGTAAAAGGTGTGAATCGTCAGAGCTCGGATCACTTGGAGTTCTGGAAAATTTTGGCGATCAAGGCAACTGACAAAGGTACCCGTGAGCTATCGGTGCAATTTCTTGGCGATCATCTTTGGGTAAAAGGTTAAATCTCTTCTCGTTCTGGAAAAGATGGCGTTTGGGCAAGACGTCTATGGACAGATAGTTGAATACATTTGAAACAACTACTCACTAAGGCGGAGATTATAAATAGTTTGTAATCTCTTGCTTCTTACTGAAATTGAACCAGAATAAAAATAATAATTTGCAAACGTTCAATATTTAAACTGTATCACGATACGATAACATGCGAAATTCTCTAATATTTAATGTCACCAGCTTCACTACTACAGTTTCATACGAGTTGTTGTTCTTATTGTACAATATTTTCAACGACTTGAATCACAAAATTTCAAAAATTTTCCCTCCGAATAGTGATAGATTTCTTAGAAAAGACATTTTTCGTTCGTTTGTAGATTTTTACAGAGTTTTGATTCAACACATGGCTCCGGCCTCCCTTATATACGATATACGTCATCCTTTAGTGAAATAAAACCCCCGCCGGAAATCCTCCCACATCTACCATGGAAACTGGTTTAAGATACCACCACTATGATCTTGTTGGATGATGAAAGGAAAATGAAGGAGACATATTCTCACATATTCCATCGGGAAAGACATCCAGGGTTTATCTTAGAATTTCGCAATATTAAACTAAAGAGAAAATCTGGTAGTAGAAGAAAGAGAAACAACCAGAACGACAAATATAAATATTTTATTTCTCAGGCCTTGTATACAAACAACTTCAACAGCAGAAGCATAAGGAATAAGAGTTTAATGAATGAGTTGTTTCTTGATCGGAATAGATTTCATTTTTGAGTGTAATTCACGGCTTTTCCACGCTTTGACCACCCCTCACTATTGAGAGAATGATGGAAGTTCTCAGGACCAATCACAAAGCGATGTCGGATTACTTTCGACACCCAACTTTAAAGGTAAATACTATTGCTTTGATACATCGTCGAAGTACAATCATGATACGTTAGCTGTCCAGTTGGTGCTGAAAACCAATTACGTTCTAGAATTTGATATCGATTTGATTACAGATGAGGACATTATGTTAAACCCAAAGGTAACCCTTTGTGCGCATGTCCTTTCTTATCACAGCGACAGTGCATAGATGTGCTGATTGTTATTGGAGTAAAAATTGCCGAACTCAGAGGACCAAACCACTTCATGCAAGGTAAGGCTCTAGCTAGCGATAGTCATGCTAAGTTATGCTCTCATTTCAGTGTCTGGTTGGAGGAAAAAGTGTTGATATTCAGCGTGCTCTGTATTCTTTTTGTTTTCAGTCGCTTCAATCACATTTGTGAACAGACAAGATTTACATAACTGAGATTATCTCCATCAGCAAGAAGTTTGCCCAACAGTTTGCCGGTACCTATCATAATGCAAACATATCCCGGCGTACTTTTCAAACTGATATTATCTTCGAAAGTATATACTTCATTTGCATCTCATGTTTATTTGAATAAAAACGAGACAAACAACTCTGACAAATTTGGTCAGCACTCACCAAATAATTATCAAATATGACAATGCTGCATGCATATTTACAAAAGCTTTAAGAAATGATGTTCTGAAAATTGAAATCTTTATACCTTTACACATAGTTGTTTGATTTATTTTCTTACAAAAGTTTTGAAAAGACGATGAATTATAACGAACTAAAAGTAATAAACAACGCCCGACTTTGAAGTTATGAAACAATTAAAAAGATAAAAGACTGTGTCGCCCGCATTGACAATGATCTGTTGAATAAAAAAGAGAATCCGAGTCAATGTCACGATTTTAAGTCAAACGAAAGAAAAGGTAGTACTACAGTTAACACAATGCTAAATTACTGACAAGTTTATTTTTGGCATTTGATTTACTGAACAGCACTACACTTACTTTCGTATATTGTCTTACTGGCTAACACCTTACGAGGTCTTACGACAATGTTTGAACTCAGGGAGCTTATAACAGGCATTTTACAGTTTACTATTTTTTTCCCACTGGAAACAGTGCTTGCCAGAACAGGATCTAATGGGTGATGGTAAGAATATGGACTCCCCAGACAGTTAAAAAAAGATTGGGCGAGGACTTTGCGAAAGTACCAAAGCTGAGGGGTACATTGACCGTTCTAGTTGTCTAACTGGTTTGTCACTAAAACTAAATATGTGCAATCGTATTTTACAAGTTTTCTTATTCATACCTTTAGCTAGCTCAGTGCAGGCCTTTAAATTTGATCTGACATTCTTCATGGCTTCAAGATCATTCGCTGTAACTGGAACGTTTATAACTTCAATACATCCAACGTTTTTCCCCAGAGTGTCAAACCATGATGGTTGAAGGTCAAAATAATCTTTGCCTAGATGAAAGATAAATCAATTTTTGTTTTAGTTATGATGGCAATGCTGAGAATTTCGTTTAAGCATAAAGGTATCTGGGATTTTTAGCTTACCAAACCAAAGTGAGTTAAATTTAGCGAGACACTTTTCTAAACCGCCGCATAAACCGTGATCTTGAGCAAGGAAGCAAGCTAACTCTTTTTAATTAAATTACCTCCTCCGAAAAAGGGTTGATCTGACTGGATAAGTCACGAGTCTTTAATGCAGAAGAAATCGTCACAGTTTGAGCTTAAACAAAGTTGGAAGCAGGGATGTGTGTTCGTTTTGTAACGCCTCTAGCTATCTTGGAAAAGAAGTTCACCTTAATACCAGACGGGTTTGTCACTTTCAGAATACATTTCTTCGTATAGATGTGGACTATCACTTATATAGAATGATATTTTACAATTTTCCATCTTCATACCTTTAGCTGGCTCAGCTGTGGGGGCCTTTGAATTTGATTTAACATTCTTCATGGCTTCAAGATCTTTTCCTTTAACTGGAACGTTTTCAACTTGAAGACATCCAGCGTTTTGGGATAGAGTGTCAAACCATGACGGTTGAAGGTCAAAATAATCTTTGCCTAGATAAAAGATAAATTAAGTTTTGTTTTATGATTGCAATGTAGAGAATTTCGTTTCCACATAAAGATACCTAAGATTTTAGCTTACCGAACCAAAAGTGAATTAATTTCAGCGAAACACTTTTTCTGAACCGCCGCAAAAACCGTGACCTTGAGCATTCGATAAAAGAACAAGCTAACTCTTCAATTAAAGCTACCTCCTCTGAAAAATGATTGATCTGAGTGGGTAAGTCACGAGTCTTGAATGCAGCAGAAATCATCACAGTTTGAGCTTGAACAAAGTTGGAAGCAGGGATATGCGTTCGTTTTTACGCCTTTAGCTTTCTTGGAAAATAAGTTCACCATAATACCAGAGGAATCTGTGTTATTTTTGTATGATGTAACACCTCATGAAGTTGCTCACTGAATTTGAGTCAGGCCAGTACATTGCAAAAGTACTAAAGCTGAAGGGTACATTGACAATTCTAATTGGCTTAATAGGTTCTTCACGCTCAGAAGACACTACTTCGCACAGATGTGGACTATCAACTATGTAGAATCGTATTTTAAAGTTTCCATCTACATACCTTTCTTCATGGCTTCAAGATCTTTTGCTTTAAGTGGAACGTTTTCAACCTGAAGACATCCAACGTTTTTTGATAAAGTGTCAAACCATGACGGTTGAAGGTCAAAATAATCTTTGCCTAAATGAAAGATGATTAAAAAATCAAAGCCGATATATGGAAGAACATGTTATCAATTCTGAGTATCTAACTGTTTTGTGACTCGTAAGACTACACTGCTTTCGCGCAGGTGTGGACTGTAGAGGAATGGTAATTTACAAGTTTCCTTCTTCATACCTTTAGCTTGCTCAGTGAAGGCCCTTGAAGTGGATTTAACATTCCTTATGGTTTCAAGATCTTTTGCGCTAACTGGAAAGTTTTCAACTTTGAAACATCCACCGTTGTTGGATGCAGTGTCAAACCATGATTGTTGAAGGTCAAAGTAAGCTTTGCCTAGTTTAGAAAAAAAAAAAGAAGAAGCAGAAATAAAAATTAAAGTGCATGGAAGAACTGTTAATGAAATCAAAATATTTATTTTTAGTGAAAGATGATGCAGACACCTCTTTCCTCTCCAAAAACAAGGCAGTCGTATCAACCGCGTTGTCACCACTCAGTTGATGCAACGCCATCCCAATTTACATACTCACCATTAAATATTTGTGGTTTGCTCCGGGACTCTTCTGCTTCTGTTTTATTCTTCTGGAAGGTAAAATTAAGGCCCCCCTCAAGCTCGGCAATGTTGTACCTCGCCTCTGATGATGATGATGATGCCATTTGCTTGACAAAATCAGATTGAGTTATTTGCCCATTTTGTTTTAGCTGGGACAGTTTTCCTTTGAGATCAGCAATGTCTTTGTCTGTCCCAAAGAGAGTTTGTTTAAGAAAGGCGATCTCCTTCTCTTTAGCTGTTAAAAAACAAATGAATATTTTAAGTACTTAGAATATTAGATTGAATAAATTCAAGGTTTGAGTGATAAGGTAAACCGGGAAAACACAAAAAACGGAACTATTTATGACGGAACGAGAAGCAGTAGGGAGGGGGGAGGGGGTAAACGACTTATTATCAGTGGAGCATCGGAAACTCTTAGAAAAATGGCTCCCTAGTCCGCGCGCACTTTTCTTTTCATGCATGCGTGACCACATAAAACTAACCGTTAATCTCAGTTTCAAGGTGGATGATCTTCTGTGTTAGTTGTTCCTTTTCTCTCGCAGACTGAAAAAAAAATTTGCCAACATATTGATTTTTTAATTAACGAAATTAGAAGAGAGCAAAAAAGCTGGGATACAAAACATTATCAACTTCCTATCCAGCGTGAAGATGGTGGAATGTCGAAGAGTGGCGTCATAATCTAAAAATTTCATTTGCGCGCGCTTTTTCATCTCTCCACGAAGAAAAAAATTTTCAAACTCAGTTACCTGAACGCCTTTAACGCAGAAAAGTTCTAGCTGCGTTGAATGTTTCTCCAATGTTGGACGGACGGACTTAAAATTGAGCTAATTTTGGAGGGAACCGTTTTACAAGTCAAATCGGAACTAATTACGACCTATTTTCAAAGCTTATATATTGAATCAGGTAGTCTTGCGCGTTCGCCTTTAAAATCACTTGAACTTCCTTTTTTCTTGCTCCTTCGGATAACAAATTGTAACTTTTACAATAACTAAACGTACTTTTTAACGAAAGAAAAAAAGAAGTGTAATGATGAGAAACGCCCACCTCATTAGCCATAATCCGTGCCCCATGTGAGGCCTCTAAAGGCTCATGATAATTCTCATCAGAACGATTTGTGACATTGACTTCTTCATCAAATATTCTCGCGGAACAGGATTTCCTCACAGACTCTTTGTCACCTGAGTTGTTTTTGTTCATTTTGTAACTGATGTCTTCATTCAAAGCATTCGATAAACTAGAAAAATGCATTCTCTTTCACGGTGCTATAGCATGAACTGAGCTCTTAGTGCGAAACAAAGTTTCGATTTGTTTATGACTAGTTGCATGGTAACGTGTTTATGCCGTCACTTTGTGGCATCACGCCGGATTTGAAGTATTAAGTCTGGGCACTAGAATTTTGTTGAAGCCAACCATAGTTGGCCATTATAACGCTTTTATAATGTTAAATCGATAATGGATAACACGTGAAATATCAGCGGACAACGATGTACATAGAACCCTTCACAGCAGAATAATTGATGTCATTGAGCGGGTTTCCTTCGTCCAAAGGAAAATGTGCGAACATTAAGTAAATTGTTTAAAGAATGCTTACTCCGTATCCAGAGTGCCAGCGATCACGAAGGTGAAAATACCGAAAACAAAATAACTCCAAAGGACTTTAGGGGTGATGACTTTTACGACTAACGGTTTTAACGGTAATATTTTACAATTAACTTTTAATACGACTAACGGTTAAAAATTCGTCAATTTTATACGTCTAACCGCTAATTTTCTTTGCCGTTTTACTTCGACTGAGTGCCTTCCAATAACCTCCCCTCAAATTTAAGTCGAAATGTTAAATAAGCATCCGGGCGCCTATTCGAGGAAATAGGGTAACTGATTTAGTTTGAGCAGAAGCTCAGAAATTATCCTTTGCATAAAACGAAAAGAATGCTGATATTTGTAGAAAGGAACAAATTCACGAGCGAAAACGAAATACGTGTTTCATCCTATGCTAAGACCTGTTAACATGGAGGTGAGGGACCCCAGATGGGTGATGTAACCCGCCTAGTCGTGGTAGAAAAATGGCCCGCGTTTACATACAATCTCACAGCCCCGGGTTGCCGGGGTGAAGTTTCTCGAGGTTGTAGTCGCGCTTGCATTTAGTGAGTTAAGATGTCACTTAATGGCGACGTGAGGTAAAACGGTACCGTTTATTTTTAAATGTTTATCAATTTTCATTTATTTTCCTCTAAGGTTTTCCCCAAAAGTCGACATGTTAACCGTTTCTGACGGTACGACGTCTTCACTTTGGCATAACAAAATCATTCAACACTGTCAGGGCTAATAAATTAGAAGATTCTATTTGACTGAGAGCTAAAATAGGATTATGGTTTAGTCTTCCTCTTCGACATAGGTGAATTGTTCTGAAGGTGAATTGAATATTTCTTCGGAGCGATTAAGCCTCCTCTACACCTGCAGGAGAATTTCCGCTTTCTTCAGTAGGGTTCTATGCTTTGACACTCATCTGTCTCAAGAAAGGCCCCGTGGCCCAATGGATAAGGCATCTGACTTCGAATCAGGAGATTCCAGGTTCGAGTCCTGGCGGGGTCGCTGTTGTTTTGGTGAAATAATCTTTGTATCTTCTGAATTTCTTTCATCCTTTTAATCGCTTTCATGAAGTTATTAGTCTGGATAAGAAATTAAGTTATGTTTGGTAGAAGAACATCGCCACACGTGCTTTTCAAACAAGTTATTTGTTTTTGCATTAACATGGAGGTTAGGGACCCCAGATAGGTGATGTAACCCGCCTAGCCGTGGTAAAAAAATGGCCCGCGTTTACATACAATCTCACAACCCCGGGTTGCCGGGGTGAAGTTTCTCGAGGTTGTAGTCGCGCTTGCATTTAGTGAGTTAAGATGTCACTTAATGGCGACGTGAGGTAAAACGGTGCCGTTTATTTTTAAACGTCCTATTTTCATCCTTATTATGTTATTTCATCCTTGTGCAAAGAATCGAGAGAAAATCTGGTAGAAAAAAAAAGAGAGAAACGACTAGAACGAAAAATATAAATATTTTATTTCTCAGGTCTTGTATACATTACAACAGCAAAAGCAAGAGCAATAAGAATTTATTGAATGAGTTCTTTGTTGATTGGGATAGATTTCATTTACGAGCATAATTCACGGCTTCTTCAATGCTTAGAGCATTCTCCCATTCAGAAAGGTCCCGAGGCCCAACGGATAAGGCATCTGACTACGAATCAGGGGATTCCAGGTTCGAATCCTGGCGGGGTCGCTGTTATTTTGATTCTTTTATCATTTTAATTGCCTTTCACCAGATACCACAGGTGAGGCATAGTTAAGTTTGCTGGAGTAGAATTGCTGCATTTGCTTTAAAAAAGAATTGAACGTTTATCTAATATTCTCCGGCTTCTATAATACAAGTCATCCTTTCGTGAAATGCAACCCCTCCCGGTGGAGTTATGATGCTTGTCACATTTGCTTGTTTTCCTAGGCTTCATTGCGGACTCTGGGGAAAAGTTTGACCCGGCATTTCAAACAGCTGGAGCGATTAAGATTTTTGGTTCAAATCTCATGTTTCTGAGAAAGCTGACAGGACGGAGAGACTGGAGTGAGGAAAATCTTGCATTTGGGATAGAATCTTTTGAGTTATTTGTTTACGCAAGAGAACGGTGCTTTGAATGCAGTAGATTCTGGCAAGAAGTACCGCAGGTTGTAAAAGGTGTGATTCGTCAGAGCCCAAATTTCTCGGAGTTCTGGAAAATTTTGGCGATCAAGGCAACTGACAAAGGTACCCGTGAACTATCGGTACAATTTCTTGGCGATCATTTTTGGGTAAAAGGTTAAATCTCTTCTCGTCCTGGAAAAGATGGCGTTTGGGCAAGACGTCTATGGACAAATAGTTGAATATATTTGCAATATTCATTTACTAAGAGATTATAAATAGTTTGTAATCTCTTGCTTCTTACTGAAATTGAACCAGAATAAAAATAGTAATCTCCAACGGTTCAATATCTAAACTGTATCGCGATACGATAAAATGCGAAATTCTCCAGTATATAATGTCATCAGCTTCACCGCTACAGTTCCATACGAATTGTTGTTCTTATTGTACAATATTTTCAACGACTTGAATCACAAAAAAATTCAAAATTTTTCCCTCCGAGTAGTGATAAATCTCTTAGAAAAAACATTTTTCGTTCGTTTGTAGATTTTTACACAGTTTTGATTCAACACATGGCTACCTCTTCAATTTAGAAAAATCAAACCTGAATAACAATACAAATTCCCAAAAGTTTTATGGTTCAACTGTAATTTGATGCGTTAAGTTAATTAATAAACTAACAGTGTATTTAGGAACCTCAAGCAAACTAAGAGGGCTACGAAGACGTGGCAACACAAAAGATTAAATGGGCAAAACAATAGCTTAGCGCGTACATTTTAGAACTTTGTACATTTCTAAGCCGTCGTTTGTATGACCACAACGTGAAATAACCAAAGTTTGCATGGTCTGAGAACAGAACCGATGTGGCAAATTATTTCAGTTTTCATTTGGAACTCAATGCTGTAAGGGACGGTAAACACATCCAGCCTTTTGCAAAATTCTAACTACAAACATAAATTCATTTTTAATCGACATCTTGTTGGGCGTTTCCGTCCTAACTGCAGGGCGTGAAATTAATTTTTTTTTCTGATAGCCACTTGGCTCCTAAATTGTTCAGAGTGGTAGCCAATTCAAAAAAAGTTGGTCGCCATTTTCAAAGACTAACAAAACCTTTTGTTACGCTGTCAGCTTTGTAGATGGACCCTTCAAGATTAAGTTAGGGAAAAGATCTTTAACGTGCTACAAAGTGGACACTAGGATGGATGATATACAGCGTTCAAGCTCACCTAAATCCAAGATGGCGTCTAGTTATCGATCGAGATGCATGTGCTGCGTTTTGGAAACAAAATTAACGAGGAAGTTTGCCGCGGATTTATCTTTATTTTCGCATATCTTTTTAATTCACTATATCTCTTGGTAAGGTTATGATGAAACATTCTAGTCGCCAATTTGGCGACTAATTTTCAGGATTTGGTCGCCAAAGTGACAAATTTAGCCGCATTGGCGCCTGTATTAGGCGCGATTTAACGCCCTGAGGGGGGGGGGACGTTGATGACACAAGGTCATACATCGCGAGCGCAAATTGATATGTAAGTAAACGATGAATGCAATGCAAAATATGGATACTTCTTTGTAGCGATATAAATCTGTTCACGAGAACAGAAATCCAGAGAAACTGTTTACTAGTACCAAACATGTCAGAGCTTGTTTCTTAGCAATCAAAACATTTAAAAGTTCCAAGTCCGTAGGCTCCCCATGTGAACTTTATGACAAACTAACCATCGAGAGAAAAAAATCGCAGATCACATAACCTTTATGTACAGTATTTAAATGGAATTAAAACTACTCGTACTTGTTAAAAGTTTCCAGAGCATTGTGGAGACCTGGATTAGAAATCAAGTCATATTTGGTAGCGGAGCATTACTACACGTGCTTCTCAAACTAATTATGTATTTTTCCATTGTGATAGGCTCCGGCTGAGGAGTATGTCCAAAAAGCGCTTGTCATCAGAACCGAAATTGGCGACAGAGGAGAGGAAGCATCATGTTATGGAAACCTAGGTAATGTGTTTAAGTCGCTTGGCCAATACGACAAGGCTGAAGAATATCACCAAAAAGCGCTTGTCATCAGAACTGAAATTGGCGACAGAGGAGGGGAGGCATCATGTTATGGAAACCTAGGTACTGTGTTTAAGTCGCTTGGCCAATACGACAAGGCTGAAGAATATCACCAAAAAGCGCTTGTCATCACAACTGAAATTGGCGACAGAGAAGGGGAGGCAACTAACTACGGAAACCTAGGTACTGTGTTTAAGTTGCTTGGCCAATACGACAAGGCTGAAGAATATCTCCAAAAAGCGCTTGTCATCACAACTGAAATTGGCGACAGACCAAAGGAAGCATCATGTTATGGAAACCTAGGTACTGTGTTTGGGTCGCTTGGCCAATACGACAAGGCTAAAGAATATCACCAAAAAGCGCTTGTCATCAGAACTGAAATTGGCTACAGAGAAGGGGAGGCAACTGACTACGGAAACCTTGGAATTGTGTTTAGAACTGTTGGTGATTTTGAAGCTTCGGAAGTATGCTTGGAGAAAGCTTTATTGATATTTAGAGATATTGGAGATGGAAGAAAAGAGTTTGATATCCTTCTAGGTTACGCCGTTTTGTATTTATACCAATATAAAATCAAAGACTCCTTGTTGTGTCTTCATCTGTGCATTGAAAAGTATGAGGAGCTGAGATATTTCTTGGGCGCCAATGATCAGTTCAAAACATCATTTCTGGAGCACACAGGAATGTTCCCCTACAAGCTGCTTTGTACTTTGCTTTGTGACACCGGAAATGCTCGGGATGCTCTTTATGTTGAGGAGTTGGGTCGAGCTAGAGGCCTATCAGACTTAATGGCAGAGAAGTACTCGGTTGAAACGCACATCTCTGCTAATCCACAATCTTGGGTTGGCATTGAGAACATTTTAAGAAAGAAAAATAACTGTACTTGTCTGTACATTTCTTATTTTCAGAATCGTCTGCATTTGTGGATCTTGAAAACAAGTGGAGTCCTTCACTATAGAAGAGTATCACCAGAAGAGAATCTAGTTCAGGCTGGGTTGCCCAAAGATTTGTCTTTGAGTCAATTTTTGGATGATAATTTCCGGAGTCTTGGTATTTTGCCTACTAAAGATTGTGAAGATCGGTCTTTAAATACGATTAAACTGCAACCTCTCTCCCCCGCACAAAAGAGCTCAGCAAGATTGCGACTCGTGGAGGAGGACGAGGACGAGGACGAGGACGAGAAAGTGATTTCAAGTCTATCTTTGTGTTACAAAATGTTTATTGCTCCCGTTAATGATTTTCTTGAGGAGCCTGAAGTCATTATTGTTCCTGACCGCAGGTTGTACAAAGTTCCTTTTGCTGCCCTGAGTGAAAAGGAGGGAGCCGAATACCTATCGGAGACTCATAGGATCCGTGTCATTCCTTCTTTGACGACGCTAAAGATCATTCAAGATAGTCCAGAAGACTATCACAGCAACACTGGTGCCTTGGTAATAGGCAATCCCAAGGTTGATGGGCTGCAACCATTGCCAGGTGCAAGAAAAGAAGCGGAGATGGTCGGACGACTGGTGGGTGTTCCACCTCTAGTTGAAGAGAAAGCAACGAAGCAGGCGGTACTTGAGCGGATAAGTTCAGTGAGCTTGATACACTTTGCTGCCCATGGTAACGCGGAAAGAGGAGAAATTGCACTCTCCCCCATTCCTACTCCCAACAGTGGAAACGCTATCCCACCGCAGGAAGCTTACATGTTGACGATGGCTGATGTCTCACGAGTGAAAGTCAGAGCTAAACTGGTGGTACTTAGCTGCTGTCACAGTGGAAGTGGAGAGATAAGAGCCGAAGGAGTTATAGGAATTGCCCGTGCGTTCTTAGGATCTGGTGCTCGCTCTGTATTGGTAGCGCTGTGGGTCATTCCAGACTCAGCTACAGAGAAGCTGATGGGTCGGTTCTACGAACACCTCATTGAAGGAGAAAGTGCCAGTGAATCCCTTCATCAGGCCATGAAGTGGATGAGAAAAAACGGCTTGAACAAAATGTCTGAGTGGGCGTCGTTTACGCTGATTGGAGATGATGTGAGACTCGAGTTTGACAAGCAGCGGCAAGACTCAGTGAGAACAGGTATTTCATAAATTAAAGTTAGATTAGATGTGAAGATGGCTTTGACTTATTGGTCGTTGACTGGATGGGGATCCTTTGTTACCTTGAGCATCAGGCTAGTTTAATGTATATCTTTATCTTTATCTATATATATATATATATATATATATATATATATATATATATATATGTATATCTACACACACTTTTTTTTCCTTTTTGGTGAGTTACTATCTTCGCTCTATAGTGTAAAATATAGAATCTCACAGATGCCTCTCTACCAATGAGATACAAGTAATAGCCACTTATTTTTACATATTGTGATTGGTATAATGGTATTTGCTTTATATCCAAAATATTAATTGAGGTAATAATAAATTGGGTTATTTAAAATTTTTTCTCAGTACAGGAAGAAAGACCCCGACAGAGTAAATAATGACAAGAACTCGAAGGGAACAGAGCAAAAAGACTTTTAGATGGATAAATTAAATAGGAACAAGAAGAGAAAATACTCTATCCAGTTTTTCCTTGACATTAAAAAAACAGCTATCCCAGGTTAGGGGAGATTTATTCCAATTTTTTGTGCTTTCTTTTCCAATATTCTCAGGAGGAGGTACTGGTTATGTACTCAATAATTTTTTGTTTTTCACGCAAAAATTATATTCTGATATAATAAGCACGAAACAATGTTGACCTACGTAAGGCTTTTGAGTAAAACGAATTCAGTAAAGTTAACCGGATTCTGTTTTTTTTTTCTTTTTTTTTGACATCTCAAAACATTTGTTTGAAATTCTAATAATAATCTATTTCACAAAAGTTTCCCTGATGGCCGGCATTAAACTATGATTTGATATCATGTTGTTAACTTGTGGCTACGCGATACGGAGAAATGGGTTTACTGTGGAAAGTCTGATATGCAAATATTCACTCGCTCACTGATTCACTCTGGTGTGAGACTGTTGGGAATAAGTAACTTTGATCTTCTTTTTCTTGAAAAAGAAACAGAACTTACGGTTTTACTAATCACGTGAGGAAACTCGAAAACTTTTTGTTCTGGCCGTCGAAACATATATGTAATGAAACTCGTCAGGATTAGGCATCCTTATTTCTTGTTCATGAATAATACAAGACATGTTTTAATGTCTTGCTTAAAAGCTTGAATTATTTTCTCTATTTTTTGCTTAAAAGCTTGAATTATTTTCTCTACAAAACTGTCGAAGGGGAAGAGACCGCGACGCAAAACATGAAAGAGTAAACAAAGACAAAGGTTCAACGTGAATAACCTAACATTTCATTTTGGGAACTTTGAGGATCGATTAATCCATTTTCAAATCACGGGCGAAAAGCTTGTATTAATACAGAACAAATTTTCAAGTGAGAACCTAAGATAAATATTTAGGTATTGTAGCTTTTCGCAAGTTTGACGTCGGAATCCGATATAGATATTATTTTTTCCTACGCGTAGATTGCTTTTGAAATTCATGGCAAGGGGAGATATTTCGCCACGTGAAATTGACTTTTATTAACACGCACGTTGTTTGTGAAGTCTTAGATGCTGTGTCGTAAATATAATTGTCCACATGATGCCCTAACGTCGATTGCATTTACCTTTCCAAGGCGATGTCACTAAACTTCTGGATAAAAAGAAAAGCCCGCAAGATTTGGCCGAATTACCCTTAATCTACCCCCTTACAGTTACGTTGGTGTTAATGTCTATTTAGTCACCGGAAATTCATTGTAAAGGACAATAAAATTTCGATTAGTTCAGCCAATCCCTTGAGCACGCATATCGTCAAGTGATGTTCATTATGTTATTTCATAATTTTTCTTCCTTTGTCAACTCGTTCTCCATAATATTCACTAGAGTAGTTTGATGGTTACTGGTATGTCGTCAATATGAGCGTTCACTTATCTCACGGACGGGCGGAGATTGTATGCTTGGCTTGTAAGGGTCATAACTTTTTAGTGACTGGCCAAGGGGGGAACTGGTAAGTCATCTGTAGTAAGGGAAGTCATCAACAATTTTCGAGCGGCTGGAAAAAGGTTTGTGTGGTATTTTCCAGTGGTATAGCATGCACGATCCTGGTGCCGCTTCTATCGTGCATTCCTATTATGGATCAGGAATTGCAGACCTATCACGGGGACAGCTGTCTGCTTGGTTGATTGGGACGATAGATTAATGCGAGGTGTCACTGTGGGGATGGGAATAACAGTGATGGCAAAGTAAGCTTAAAACAGCAGAAATCGTCAGAAACTAATATGGACACACAAGATGTGTGTACTTTTATTGATTTTACGTGTTAAATGTTGATTTCTCGAAATATTTCTCGTGATAAATCGACCATATTTCGCTCCCCATTCTATTCTTAATAACGAGTTCAACGCTCGTAACTTAACACCAAGTCACACAACCCGTGACGCTTTCATGAATTAATCGGTTGCTTTTTCTCGAGACGTGAACTCGGACCACCTCTGCTGACACTGATCAGTAAAGTTCATTCTGCATTGTGAATATGTCTTAATATGGGATTGATGTTAGTTTTTGATCACGTGATTGCTGAAACCATAAGTTTCTCAAATTAAACAATGCCTAACAATATCTTAACTACTAAGGTTGAAATATATTGTATAAAACCTTAACGGTTTGAAGAAAGAAATTTAACGGTGGAGATATAAAGTATCCGTTCAACGCTTATACTATGAATGCAATAACAGTGAATTTAAGAAAGTTTCACTCCTCTGAGAAAATTAAACCATCTCTCTCCGTGAGCGAGCAGCCTCACAACTTATCTTCCTGTGCGAGACTCTGGCGCTTAAACGGAAAAAAAACAGATTACGGCTTTAGAAAAAATATGTACCGTAGAAACCGCCGTTAGTATCCAAAGGTTTAAGAGAAGGGTATCTCGACAATGAAACGCTTGTGTACAAGTAAAAATATGGCATTTCGAATCTAGCGCGATCTCTGAATCGTTCGTTCAACCCTCCTAAACAGATTCAAGTTGATAGCTGATGTAGAGTCATAGCCACTGGAAAACCACGTGATCAAGCACCACGGATTTCCTTCAGCGAGGGACATTCCGCAACATAAATAGAGGTCTGATTTTAGTTTTATGATTATCAATTTCTCAAATTGAACGATACTCAATAACATTAGTTAATGAGGATAAATTATACTGTATAAAGATACAGAGATTTGAGAAAACTGCTTAATAACGAATTTATTTCACTGTGGTGGCGATTCAATCGCGCCATCAACCGCTTTAATGAAGGGCTAACGCTCGAAACAAGACATAACTACATATTGCAAAAACAAAGCTCGAAAAAGCAGCTACTAGGCTCTGCCATAAGAGCCTTATCTCTCTACAGTTACTAAATAACTAAAGCTGATAAAAATCGAGTGACTAGGAAAGATTTTCAATCGCGCTAACCAAGATGTTGACAATGTGGCTGATGCTTTGAAAATGAAACAATAAAAATAATGAATTACACTCAGGACTTTTCTCAACCTTCAACTTCCGCTGTCAGAGTGTTTTAGGTATCTAGGTATCTAGGTCTCGTGTGTTTTAGGTTATTCCCGTCCCCCCTCTAGGCTACTCGAAATAAAATTGCATATTGAAAACGGTTAGTGGTCATATGTTAAAATGCTTATTGACCTAATTTTCCTTCCGGCCCTTCAACTCAATCAATAAGAACACAGTATTTCGGTTTTGTACGTCACACTTTTATCGCTCATGATGTAGTTGAACATGGAAAATGAGAAGAGTTATTCTTTTATTTAATAGGAAATGTCAGGCTTTAGTGTTTACCCCTTTGAAAGGTTTGATTTTCATCACAAGATAGATCACAGCACAACCTAAGTTTCTTTTTTTTTAACGCTAAGCTATCTTTGCGTGATAATGGACTCATTGCCTTCGTGAACTTTTCATTTTCTAGCGGGTGTGATTTGCATCTTCGAAGCCAAAAATACCAACAAAACTTAGAGACTTTATTTTGGTTTGGCACGTCACACTATTCTAACTAATGATGGATTTGAGCATCCAAAAATGACACATCTTACTTTGTTTATCCGAAAACGTCAGGCTTCAGTGTTCATCCCTTTTAGTACGTTAGGATTTGCATCACGAGATCGATAAGATTGAGCGACAACTAAAGCTTCTGTCTTTAAACAGTAAGCTATCTGTGCGTGAAAACTGACCCACTGTACACATGAACTTTTCATTTTCTTGCGGGTGTGATTTGCATGATCGAAGACAAAAATAGTAACTGATATAATAGATAAAAAAAAAAAAAGAAAACGGACGGAATGGATCGGTAATTTGCTCGAACATAACCACATCACTGGTCTTACCTTTGAAGGCGTTAATCCAATGACTGAAATATGGCAACAAGTAAATGAGGAGGTAGCTTGACTTTCAGTAATAATCAATAGTTATACTTAATAGTTATATTTTTTTTTGAGGAGGGGAGAGAGGTGGGGGAAATGGACTTCACTACAGTTACGTTGTAAGATCCGCGCATCCGGAAGGGACTTTCCTGAAAACTCCCAACGGCAATTCGCGCTGTTCAACCTTTTTGTTTCCTCTTTACCTCAGACAAGCGCAAGAAACTTGCAACTAGAGGGCACTAACACCCAGCGATCATTTGAATGATAAAAATGATATATGGCTTAGGTTCTTCCTTGTCTTTGAAAAATAACAAACAATTGCAAGCTTGACAAGCTTGCTTCCCATTTAATTTAGTATTTATGTCAACATTACCTGATTTCTCCAAATTCGGGGAAATTTCGTTTTCCAAGGCTACACGGTCAAAGCCAAACAAGTCACATTTGAGAATTATGGGCGCACTGTAGTAGAGGGAGGGTCTCAATGGGGTGATGGCTTTTACGGCTAACGGTTAAAATTTTGGCCATTTTACTAGTAACGGTTAACATCATTCCATGAGTTGTTACCAGAAATCTTTAACAACTCAATTCATAATTTGTTACCAGAAATTTTTTTTGAGGTTTGATTTTTTTTACGAATAAAGGTTAAAATTTGACGATTTGTAAGCTTAACGGTTAGATTTTTTTGTGGCCGTTTCATGGCTATCGGTTAATCCCATTGAGACCCTCTTGAAGTATATGACGTCTTAGATCAGTGGTAAGTAACTGACAATAAAAAGATTCCTACCGTAATTTTTTGCTATCGTATGCAGCTGACACTATAGATATTTCACAAGTTATTTTCTATTTATTAGAATCTGAGGCGTTGGGAACATTTTTCAAATGGGAGGGGTGGGGGGTTTTTGGTTGTGTCAAATTTGAATTTAAGGGCATTCTGGCCAGAATTTTTTACTATCGTGAATTGTGGGATAGGGGGCAAAATCTCCCGATGAACCCCTTGCATGCCCCCTCTAAGTATCAAGAGGGTCGTAAAAGAGTGTTGGCATGGCTTTTACGGCTAACGGTTAATATCTTTCCATT